CCACAGCCTCCTCAGGAGGTGAACGAGCACTGGGCAAGATCTCATTTTAGGACATAGGGATGGCCAAAGGAGCAGCCTCCACACACCTGACAAATTGAGCTGCCATCCACCAGCAGCAAAATGTTCAGCTGGGCTTGAAACTGGTGGGGATTGGGATGCTCTTGACCACCAAGTCCTGGGAGCAAAATACTTCTTACCCCAAATATGCCCTTATCTTTTGATAGTGCTTATACAGGGATCCAGATCTGCTACTCTCCAGTCTGCCCAGAACTTTGGACACCTAAGCATCCTGAAACCTGGGCCACCAACCTGTCACACCCCCATTGCCCAGTTCCCTTACACCATTTCTCCATGGAACAATCCAATTTTCCTCCCGCATGGAGAAATCAATCAGAGGGTGTTATGACAACTAATAATTTTCAGTTACCTTCTTCCCTGCATATTGAATTCAGGCAGAAGCAGAAGTACATAAATACCATGTGGGTGACTATTATTAATACTTGAACCTGCAGCCTAATGGTTGCTCCATGCTGGCAGGTTTTCGAACTGTTCACCTCCCCTCTCCATCATACTGGATATCTAAAAATTTAATGTTCTGTGATGCTGATTAAGACAACCCTCTTGTTCTCAAGCCTTGACTGTTTACATAAATAGACACTTTAATGCATTTTGCCAGCAAGGTTTCCTTTGACTCCTTGGCACAGATGGTTGATATTTCCATGCTGCAGCAGCTATTAGATTGTAATGTTACCAGTGACAACCCTACATCATCTGTACCCTGCTCTCTCCCCTGCAGCAGAAATTCAGCCTGAGATACTGCCATGGGCTTAGGCTGCTGCTGTCTCCTGCAGAAGGAGTTTGCCCACCCTGGCTTCAGGCACTGTGGCTTTGTGGATCCCTACAACATGCTGCTGTAGCGGGGGGTTCTCCACTTGGCTGCATTCATGCTGGGGACATGTCAGGCATCGCCTCATCCCACTTCCTTGAAGAACTGCTTCCCATGGATAATGAGCTTTTCTCCTTGGGTGCTGTCTCAGAGAGTCATTCACCTTTGTCACCTCTCCAATTTGCTCTTAAAAATCAACAAAAGGCTCCCCACAGGTCTGGACCAATTCTTTCTTCCTTCTTTCAGAGACACCAGGGTTTTGGATCAATCTAGATCCAAGTCCACACAAGACCCAGGCAGAGATTTGAAACCATTGCAGTTTTGGAGAGGCCAGTGAAGGACTCTCCAGTCTCTTTCTTGTTATGTTAACAATGGCAAAACACCGCAGAGACAGCAGCTGAAATTCAAGTGCTATTTAAACAAAAGAATATGTAGGGTATAGTTCATACAATGCGAGTTCAGACAAGGAAACTCAGAACAGCCAGGAAGCTCAATGTGAACCAGATTTTAAAAACAAAAACAAAACCCCCAAAGCCCTTCCTCAAGGAAGCCCTTGCCGAATTCTTTCCCCTACTGAGGCGTCCAACATCACGCCTCATACTAAAGCCTTTGCTTTTCACTCCAAGAAAGGAGTTGGAGGAAAAAAAGGAAAATAAAAGCAGCACATTATGGAACAGAGCCTGGCTTACAGCCAGGGCTGGGGGGAAAGCAGCACAGAAACCCTCTGGTTTAGCAGCATATTTTACTCCTGCTCTATGGCAGAACAATCTTTTGCAAAGCCGCAGCTGTTTGAACCCACAGTGCTGCAGAGGCTCAGCTTCCTTAAGGCGAATCAGTCAATTGGTTCAACAGTGTATTTAAAATCCCCCCGAGTCTACCTTTAAATCACATTTATATTCCTCTACCCAAAGGTAATAGTTTCTACCTGCATTTTGCTTCATCTCTGTAGAAAAACAAGCTATTTAGCAGCCACATTAATAATCTGCGGCAATCTGGTTGTCATTTCCCTGATGGAAAATTTCACACTGCTGCCCAGCAGCCGCAACGTGGTGAGTTCTGCGAGCACCTCACACCGTGCTGCCTCCCTCCCACTGCACCTAGAGCCAGAAGAACAGCAGGAGTTGGTTTTGGATGGGGTGGGGTGGGGAGGAAATACAGAATTACAACCAGTCAGGTGTACCTACAGCTCAGGCATGTGAGGGAACCACGTGGAAACAACCAGGTGTTGAGTGAGAAAGTCAGTCAGCTCATGTCAGAAGGAGCCTAGAGGAAACCCAGCTCTTGAAGCCCCAGCCATGTGATGGTAAAATGTGTGTTGACAATTTACTGTGGAAGGTGGCCTATGGAAAAGAGCTTTAGGTGGAAGAGGAGGTTCATCCAGCAGCCCTGGCTATGGGTGCTCAGTCTGGCCAGGTTGACTGATGGGTGAATACAAATAAAGAGCAAGAGGTGGAGGCCAGCGTTTTTAACACACTCCCAACTGCCACTCATTTGTATGTGCCTTCAGAGAACCACTGTCATCTTAAATATCCCAACCAGGCCTACTCTGGTTGCCATGTCTGTTAAACAAGAGACTGAAAGACTTTTTCAGGTCCTCCAAGCTGCCTGTCCCAAGGTGAGATGTCAAATCTCCAGAGGAGCAAACTTTTCTCCCTGGCTGTTATGAGGAGCTCAGCTCACCAGCTCCTGTTTTGAAGTCCAGGATGGTCTGGTGGTCGCAGAGATGCTGAATCCCACCCAGCATTGCTGGGGGCAGATGGGTAGGCAGAAGCCTCTTCCTTCTTGAGTAACCTCCAGCCTGTCCTTCCTCTCAGAGAGGAGCAGCCCCTCTGCCAAGGGGCCGCTAAACAACACAAGGTTTTGACGTGACACCTTAAAATAGGCCCTTAAAATATTTACCCTAATATAGCCCACTGTGCCCAGGGCAGCATGTGGAAAGCCCAAGAGGTAAATACTGTCTAAATAAGCAGAGAGCTTAATATAGAAAGTCATGAAGTCAAGTACTCTTCAAGCGCTCTCACATCTTTGCAAACATCAGTCAGTAAAGATAAATTTGACATGGTTGATCACTCACACTTTTAGGAAAGGCTCTTCTAAATGAAAAAAAAAACATGTTTCAGTGTTTATAATCTCTGCAGGAAGGCCTGGTCCAGCATTTTGCCCCTCTAATTCCTGCTCTCATAACTGTCAGATTATGAAATTGCCAACACTAAGCCTTACAAGCTTACAAAGAAACACCTCTCTGTTCTTTGCCGCCACTTCGAGAAGATGAACTAATAAAAACAAGCTCTGCTATTATCTCCAAATGCCTGGGAGAAAGGAATCTGGAACAGTAGTAGCTTCAAAATACCATTAAAGAAAGCAACCACCCACAGTGTCTGGAGTCCCCCCACGCTTATCAGCTCCCTTCACCCTTGTTACCCGAAAACCACGCAAAAATCTGCCTCTTGTCATCCCGATGTTTGCTGGGACTCAGCACTGGCCAGGGCAGAAACCAGAAAGCTTCTGCCCCACTTTTCCCAAGGCAAAGAATTAAGGAGTTGTGTTTCACTTAGAGTGTTTGATGATGGGAGCTTGCTCAGCCACCCATCCCCAGGGGGTGGTCCCCCTTGATGGGAGCCCACACCAGCATCTCCCAAAAATGCTCCTGGTAAAGAGCAACAAGCTTTGACAATCTGCCCCTTGGGCAGTCCCAGCAAAGACACCGTGGATCTGCTTTCACCCTTCAGCCAAGGGAGGAATAAAAGTGTTTATCAGTTTTTGTGAACCCAGCTTCTTTGGGATAATCTTCCCAAGATTATTAAATAAAGGTAGAATCACTCAAGCTTCCCTGCAGAGCTCCCGCCAAGGGCAGCAAATGAAGGTAAAACCAGCAGGAGTGCATCACTGTTTATTGTGTACTGAAAACAACATCTAGCCAGCTAAACTGCATCAGGGCATCAGGGAGAAGGTGCTGGCTGGAAGGGACACATTGAGCACACCACGTCTCCCTGGCACTCGGTCACTGAGGCATTAATGCCACAGGCTGACAGGGGAATTGGGAGTTGATCCACAGCCACCACTGCTTCCACCAGGAGCTGGGGGAGAAACACCTCTTCTTGCAACTCAGCAAACATGAAACATGCCAGGAAGGGAGAGAACTGGAGTCATGACTTGAGATGCAACGAGCTTCTCAGCCAAGACGGGTGCTGGGAGCACAGAGCTCTGACATCCCGGGAGAAACAACGTGCTGAGAGCCCTCAAGAATGGGAGGGGTTTATAACAAGGTTTTGCAGCATCCCTGCATCCCCACTGATAAACTCTTCACCCAAAGGAAGAGTGCACCTGAAGCCCCAAGACACACGCTTGAGGCAGGATCAAGGGCACCATGCCAGGTGGGCCCCAGCAGCACCCACAAAACTCATGTGAGGCCACAGCATGCAAAGCCTCTGAAAGCAGAGTTCTTGTCATGACACATCATGGAGGTGGTTCAAGAGGAACAGGGCAACTCCTTTTCTTAAAGACTATATATAGGGAAAGCTCTGCTAGGTGACAAGCAGTGAGAGGCTGCAGCACAGGCACTCTCTTGCCTGCAAGGACTCAGATAATTGAGCGAAGGAATAGCCAGTGATGAGTCTATTTTGGACTCATCATGCTGCTGCTGGAGCATTCACCGAGGAGGAAAAGCCATTTTTTAACTCCTCTCCAAGGAGTGCAAACTCAATAGAGTTCCCTGCCTGCAGCTGTATTGACCCCAGAGCCCACAGCTGCTGGCAGCACCTCAAGCGCTGCCAGGCTCACAGTGACCTGTGGAAAAGGGCTGCTTCATCTCCTTGGTTCCCTCACCACAGACCCCAGCACCACCTGCTGCTGCCCAGGGAACAGTGGTTTCATGCTGCTGACCATCCGTGGTAGGGCTAGGACACAGGAGCTCACATAACCAGGTACCAGTCAAGGTGATTGCTGCAACCTGGAAGCAAGGCTCAGAGGAACAAGCCTGCCTTATTCCATTCTGGGACCCTTCCCAGAGCATTTTCATGCCTCTCACCCCAAACCATCCCACCAGCAGCTGGATTTGGACCCATAACTCCACCTGCAACCCCTCTGCACCAGGAGCTGCCAGGACAGCACTCACCTGCTCGTGGTACTCAATCCCCATGCTGAGTGTGTTAATGAGAATGGCCACCATGATCCCACGGCCGAAATATTTGCTGTCCACAATCTTCTGGAAAGTCTCACACACCACGTGCCAGAAGGCCAGCACCAGATGGGCTCTCTTGGCCCGGGCTCTGCCACTTTGTGGGTCCCGCTGGTCGCTGTAGTGGACATCCTGTGTGAACTCGTAGACCCCCTCGCTGTCCGAGTCGGCCGTCTCATTGTCCGACAGCTCGGCCTCGCCCGCCAGCGCCGCGAGGCAGTACGGGCAGCTCTCGGGGCTGCAGGAGCCACCTTCCAGCTTGGTGCAGGGGCTGGAGATCTTGCAAGAGCTTTGACAGGGACCTGAAATGCCAGCAGAGCAGGGAAAGGGAAGCTCATCAGCTGGGACTGAGGGCTGCAGGAAGCAACCCCCGTTCACTGTTAGCACCAAGCCTTTGCCTCTGACATGACAAGCATTTCCTAACGGGAAAAGGGCTTCTGCTGGGTTAAAACCTGGGCTCCCCAAGTGCCTTCTCTCTGTTTATGAAGCTCTCTTTGCTGCCTCCAGACAGATACCACCCCAGCCATGGACCCTAAGGGCACCTCATTACATCTCTAGCCATTACAGGAAGGAGGAAGCAATCGGTTCCCCCAGTCCTGGCAGGCTCACGGCTGTAATTATTGGGAGGACTGTTAGCAGCCTTCTTTCCTGTTCCCTTTGCTGATGCTCCAAAATGACAAGCTTCCCTCTCCACACGTTGGCCTCAGTGGCAGCTGCCAGGTGTATCCTGGGTGAAATACCAGCAGGATATTCCCCAAAATTCCCACCAGCTGGCTGTGAGGAGAAGGGCAATGTGTGCACCTGACTCCTGCATGGCAGCACCCAGCAGTGAGAGTGCAAACCCTGTGCTAAACCAACTCAGAGCCCAGTTCTGTGCGTTCAGTCTCTGGGCAGTGCTGGCCTGGGGGCAGGATTTGGTCTCTTCCCTGCACAGCTCCTGGCTGGAAAGGTCAATGCCATTGCAGTGGCGTGGAAAAGGCACTGACTGCCTGGGAAAGCTTGGCCAGAAACACTTCTTGGAGGCTGAGAGTGTTTGGACTAGCCTGGCCTGAACTCCCAAACTTCAGGATGTGGAGGGGAAAAGAAAAATATCTTCACTTTCTTGAAGTGAAGATGTGAAATCCCTGATCCAAGAAAGATGCATTCAGTGTCTGACTCTTACAGGCTTCCTGAGCAAATCACAGATTTTTAATACTCAGCATCTGAGATTGCCCTTGAGCACTCACACAAAGCAGACACTCAATCTCCATGAGCCTTGTGTCCCACGGGAGCAGAGCTACACAGTACTCAGGCATGTGATAGGACCCAGATCTGGAAGGTGTCCATCCACAAGCTCCAGCTGATTTTGGGAGTACAGGATTTGGGAAGTGCTCTCTGTAAATGGTTTAGGAGCAGAGGGAAATAATGGAATTTTGTCCTAACATTTAATCTAAGCCCATCTCTGCAAAGTTTAAAGATATTCCTTTCTTCCTGTCACTACATGTCCTTGTCAAAGTCCCTCTCCACCTCTCTTGGACTCTTCTAATCTACAAGATGGGGATTGCAAAGAAAATGGATTCACTGACAATCCTCATATGTCTTGGATTATTGTAGATATGAAGTCTGGGAGTTGAAACCTCCCACCTAAATTTGGCTTATAGAATTAGGTAGGTCGTAAGATTCCTATTCATCTCACCTGGAAAGCCATCGCCTTTCTCTGTAACATGGACTGAAAAGAACCCTGCAAAAATTCAGAGAGAGAAGAAAATTAGGACAAAAATTGTATTTCTGGAAAGCAGCCCCAGATGTAGATCCAAGCCCAGCTCACCTGTGCTCTGTGTCTCCAGCAGCTTGTGCATGGTGCTGTAAGACCCGGGCGGGATGTTGAGGCTGGTCAAGGTGCTGCTCCCAGCACCCACTGCCGCCTCCCCCAGGTTCTTCTCTTTCAGCATCTCCTGGGAGGTGCTGGAGTGCACTGTGGGGTACACCTTGCTGCCCACTATGTTCTTGGGGATCCCTTCTGGGCTTGGCAAGCCGAGGCTCGGCTGTGTCAGGGATGACCGGCAGCGCACCGGCTCAAAGTGACAGTCGGCATGGTAGATGCTGTGCACGGACTCGGTGTTGCTGGGTGAGGCACTGGGGGCCCCCAGGGAATTGGGTGCCGAGGGAGGGAGCATCAGCCGGTTAGTCCCATTGTGGAGTGAGCTGGTCTCCACATCACTGATCTCCGGGCTGGCACGGGGTGCTCGCAGGTTCCCATTGCCCAGGTGGTAGTGGTGGTGGTGGTGGTGATGGTGGTGGATGAGGTGGTGCACAGAGGATCTCTTCCTGCTCCGGCGCTTCCTGGTGTGCTGCTCGGCCCTCGCCTTGCTCGTGGGGCTGCTGAGGAAGCCCATCCTCACGCCTGCTGCCTTGTAGGCCTTCACCAGCTGCTTGCTGCCTTTCCGGGCAATGTAAACCAGGTACTTGAGGAGCTCATCATAGCAGCTCCCTGGCTCTGAGAAACTGGCAAGGGTGCTGGCGTTGGACAGGTAGCGCACACGCTGCTCCTTCATTAGCTGGCTCTCACGCTGCTTCGTCTCAGAGAACTGCGTCGCTATCACCACCAGGCACAGGTTGATCATGAAGAAGGAGCCCACCTAAGGGGACAGGGGACATCAGCCACCTCAGGGTGGCTGTGGCACCCCACAACCTGCTGGGGACAAAGAGTGGCAAACCCCAGCCAACCCCACTCCCTTTGTCACCCAGCAGGGACCGCTGGCTGGGCTGACTCACCCCCCAAGCTCCCGTCCCAGGGACTCCCACGCCAGCCCTACACGGAGGACGTCAGAGATCAAAGATGAGGGAAGATTATTTTGACAAAAATCTCTTGCTCTTTTAAGATGGTGTTTTTCTCTCTCCACAGACAGCAGTTGTAATTATCACAATTAGTGACATTATGATGAATGCACTGCGCCTTCCTGATAGGAGCGTTTTTCTGCCAGTGTGTGGGCAGCTTGCGAGCAGATCCCTTTCCCCTGCTAATGGGATTTGCGGGTGACTGTTACGCAAGGGCATCAGCAGCCTGTACCCACAGCTTGGAGATTTTCTTTCCAACCAGGGTTTCATGAGGTTCTGCCTTCTGCAGAGCCCAGCCTGGGTCACAGGGAATTACTGACGTGCTAACGGGCTATCACAAACTGCTAATGCTACTTGCATGGCATCTGGAAAAGTACTGCTTGCTCTTCCTCTTTGTCATCTTGGGGAGGCTGAGAGCAAGGGTTTGTTTCTCTTTTGGGAAAGCTAACAGAAAAAAACCAGCACCATGGACTAAACAACCGTCTACTTTCTCGTCAGGGTTTGAGTCCTGGTTTGATGAGGAGCAGAAATCCCCACAATGACCTAACTGACAATGTGCAGCTATTTTTCTGGACTTAGACTAATTGTGTAGCAAGACAAGAACTCATCTCACTTAGCTACATCTGAGTGAGGCACCTAATGATCCTTTAGAGTCAAGAGAGAAATAGGCGCATCAAGTCTGCAATGCATCTAATTTATTTTGGATGTCTACCTTCAGAGGAGATGAATCACCCCTTTAAAGCACCTATTTTTCTCCCTTGACGATAAAGGGAGTCTAGACAACGAGCTCAGCCAGTCACTGTAGACAATTCTGCTTGCATAGATGAAGCCCATCATGGAGCCCACCCCACAGAAACTCTTTGTTGGCTCCTTTGTGGGTGGTCTCAGATGATGCTCTGAAGTGTGGGTGGGCTGTGGGCAGTAATCTCTTCCCTCCTTTCTTAACGTGCTCTCTGAAGTTTGGGACTGTTTTCCTGGAATATCCCCATGCCACAAAGGACCCAGCCAGATGGGTTCTTTAATGTGAGGGAATTTTTGGGCAGCCTCTTCCCTTTCTGGCACTCAAAAACTGGCCAGGTGAAATTTGCCTACTTTAAAACTTAAATTCAAGGTGGTAAGCAAGAGAGAGAAGCTTGGAGCACAAGGAGAGAAGTAGTAGAAGCAGCAGCAACAAGACAAGTGTATCTACCACCTCTTGAGCACATCTCTTTCCTTCCTCATGTTTGCAGCTAAATGCAGCTGCAGCACAATTCCATAGGGAAGCTGAGTTTCTCCCAGCAGGCTGGTTGCTACTTCAGCTTTTATATTCACTGTATATTCCTCTGCCCTGTTCCTCTGGGTGACTCCACTCTGCTCTCTCCAAATGCCAGGAGGACTCCCTCTGCTCCCCTAAGGCTACTCACAATGATCAGGAGGATGAAGTAGATGAAGTTGTAGAAGGAGTGTGCATCCATGACAAAGTACATGATGTCCACCCAGCCTTCCAGCGTGATGACCTGGTGGAGACAGGAAGGGAAAGCAAACTTCTGAAGGCTCAGTTACAACAAAGTGCACAGGCAATGTTTTTTTCCAGCTGGGTCATATCTGACACCCCACAGTAGGTCCTGGTGCAGTACAAGATGCTGAGCAACCAACTCCTGCTCCTCCCAATGCCAACAGCCACGTTACCAGCTGCCCAGGCTGAATCTAGCCCTTTTCCATCCAGACTTAAGGGCCACTAGTGCATCTTGCAGAAAGAAGAGCAGCCTCTAGGCTCTGCCCCACACCAACATCATCAAACTGCACACCCACAGGGTTTTGTCCATGCATGTGAGGTGGATTCATTCTCAAAACAGGCATCATATTGTATCCCCAACACTTTGAGCACTTGTGCACTACTATGTAGGTGCTCACCAGTACACAACAGCCCGCAGGAGTGCAATTACACAGCCCCTGGGAACATTTTGGGGGTAGGGCCTGCTGTTTGCCCACCTTCTGGCAATTGGCAGCCAGGGCTCACCTGAAATATTGCAATCCAGGCGTAGCCAATGTTATCAAAGTTGATGGCTCCCTTGAAGGGGTTGTGCTCCCCAGCAGAGCAGTTGGTGTAGTACTGGTTCCAGTTCACACAGGATGTGTTGGTGGTGTCATTGTAGGAATAATAATCCAGAGTGCACTCCAGACCCTCTTCCCTCCGTGTTGGGATACTCCGACAGTAGCGCATCCCATTCTCCCGGGGCTGGGAGCAGATGAAGGGATTTTCATCTTCATTCTCTGTCTGGTAGTACCGCTCCAAATCCACTGTGTAGGGGCTGAAAGAGTCCAGACAAGGCTGGGGTTTGCACACCGATTACAAGCAATCTGGCAAAGAGACAGCAGTAACAGCGTAGAAGGCTGACATCTGCTTTTCTGGATCTTAAAGCTATTTTTTTAAAGAAGGAATCCCCTTGGACTTACTGCAGCTCCACAGGGTGAGCTGATGTCCTTAACTGGGTTTTGAGAAACTGAGGCAGTGCACTCAGCCCCTTGGCAATCCCTTTGATGGCATTATTAAAAGTTACTCCCTCTGGAAGCACTCTGGCTATGACTTTAGGAGACTAAGAGAAGGATTCAGCATGACAGGGCTTCTCTGAGCTGTCTTTGCTGCAGTAAGATGGAAATCAGTCCATCTAAGCTCCTGCATGTCCTTCTGAGATGCTGAGAATCGTTTAGGGAGACTCTATGTACAAGGACCTCCCAAGATTCCTAAAAATCAGAGACAGGGACTTCATCTGCATTTCACCGTGTCAGTTCAGCCCACAGGCAAGCTCTAAATTTCCTCTGAGGGTGGTCTTACCACAGCAAACCAGGCAAAAGTACTCTTCAGGGAGATGAAACAACCCATGGTCAGTCAGAAACTGACTCCTTGCTCTGCACACACTATCTCCTTAATGCTGCCAGGACTCCCACTAAAGCTTGCAAAGATATTTTTAAGCCTAGTTCAGCCTGGTTAATTCCTGCAGAATTGCCTGTAATACCCTTCAAAGCCTATCTAAAGCCCTGGAATTCTGGCTCAATTAAACAGCACCCAAACCTGTTGCTCTATTGGATTTACTCAGTGGTGAGGCTGGCCCCCTGCTCTGCTGACATTTACTTAACAGGGACATGTCCTGGTAATGACACTTCCAGCTACCCTTTGAGGGCATGACCTGCAAGAGGGGTGGGAATCGATTAGGAGGTGCGTGGGAGAGGTTGGAAGGTGCCTCGTGCCAGCCTGTCCACAGAGCAGCAGCAGCGTGGTCCTGCTGGGTACAGAGAAGAGGCTTTGGGCTTGCAGGATTCCTCCATCCAGGTGTGAACACAGCCAGATCCCTGGGGAGTCAGCAATCCACTGAAAGGTGACCAGTGTGGCAGAATTGACAGAGCCATCAAGGGTTTGCAGTCACCTGCCTTTCTCCAAGCATTTGATGGGATGGAGGTGGTGGAAAAAAGCAGGTAGGTGGAACAGGCATGGAAACCCTGAAAGAGGCTCTTAGCTATCAGATATTTCAACCACTGTCCAAACAGTGCTACATCAGGCCAGAAAACTGATCTCAACAATTCTTTTAGCCTTAAAATTCAGGGATCTGTAAAAATTAAGACTTTGGGATAGGCACTATCTCTTGCTCTGAGGCTGAAAATCATCTAGCATCAAAAATGCACAGTAGTTCCATTAGCTTTTCCTGGGCTTTAGGTGGGACCACAAAAGTTGTGGCAATAAACACCACCAGCCACTGGAGGGGATTTAGACCACACAGAAAAGGTCACACCTTAATGATATGCTGAATTCAGAAATCCTGAACTCCCATTCCCAGAGGGGTTTTTTGGAGGCTTTTAGCAATCAGAGAGGTTCCCAAGTGCCAGCTGAGAGTTAAGGACAGACTGCAAACGCAAATGGCAAATTGTCACAGCTCGCTCTGTACCCGCTGCGTGTGCCCAAGCAGGAGTGATGGAGTGGTGGCATTTAGGAGCAGGAAGCATTTACAGAAGAGAAGGGCTTTTTTACAGAGGGGATCCTGGAGGGACAGCCTCCCTCAGGCTGGGGAGACACTGGTGTTGCCCACACAGACTCACATGCTGAAGTTCTCAGGGAGGAAGCAGCGGTTCCTGAGCAAACCTGCCCACAGCTGGACTCCCACAATGCCGAAGATGAAGAAGACGAAGAAGCAGAGGAGGAGGACATTCCCCAGCATGGGCAGCGTGTCCAAAAGCAGTGTCACCAGGATGCGCATACCTGAGGCGAAGGGGAAAGGTTTATGTTGAATTTTTTTGCTCCAGCCATGTCCTCCTGACTTCTTCCTTTCCACTGATACTTTTACACCTGTATTTCCTTCTATTATTTTCCTCCTATCCTTATCACCCACATGTGGCTTGTGAACAGTCACATCTTCCCATCCCCTTTAGCTTCCCCTCAAAGCCCCTGGAACAACCCCTTTCATTCATGCCTGGCTCCTGGACACCAGACCTACCTTCCCTGCTCCTCAAGTCCTCCTCTCCAAAGTTTTCTAGTAATTGTTTCCTTTCTTTCCTCAGATTAAATTCTGATGTTCTCTTTTGCTCAATCATATTTCTTTCTCCACCCAGTATATTTCAAAATTCCCTTCCCTCCCTATTTCCCCTCATCTACCCTAAATGCCCTCTCTTCCTTAAAATACAGGACTCTCTCTGGCAGTTAATTCTCACAAGTTCAGGAACAGCTAGTTCTGTAACACGGACAAATTGATAGTGACTTCAACTTGACATTTACACACAAAAAATTTATTTCATCTGACATCTGTGTAATATTCTGCTCATCTCTCACTCTCTTTCTTTCCCCATGTTCTGCACTCTCTCACTTGCTTATATTGGCTTTTATCTAAAGAAAGCTTTACTGTTGCACCCTTTACTTTGATACTTCAGGAAGACTTTTTTCTCTTATCCTGATGCTGTCACCTCCTCTCTCAGGGTTTTTCTTCTACTCCTTTACCAGGAACAACCACCTTGCATCAACTCCTAATTAACTAAAATTACTTTCTGTGGTTATTGCATTGATCATCAAACAAAGCTCATTTTTTATTTTTCCTACCTTGTATTTCTATCCCACTGTAACTACATTGCAGAGAAGACAAGATAAATTACCCAGGATTTCAAAACACATTAAGTGAATTACATCCCCAGTTAGACAGTGGTGGATAAATTCAGCTGTCCACCAGTTCAGCAGTGGGGATAAAAAAAAAAAAAAAAAGGGAAAAAAAAAAAAAAGAAAAAAAAAACAACCAATGCAAACAGGATTCTGAAGCTTCTGTAATGATTGAAACATCAGCAGCACAGCCAGATTAAGTTCGAGAGTCAGGAGCAGGAAAATAAATAGATTCCAGGCACTTCCAGCATCAGCACAGAGAACTGAAGCTGATTAGTTCTCATCAATGCATTGGGCCAGTTCAGATAGGGGAGTGCAGACTTGGATTTAATTTGGCTAAAACAGTGCTGGATTTGATGACCAGGATTGTTGGACCAGGAAAAGGATGCTTCTGGTGCAGTGGTGCTTATAGTTACCATACCTGATCCATCCAACATCTGAGAGAGACCGTGCTCAGTGTCTCCCATGGAGCACTGGGATGTGCCCAGCATGGAGCTGTGGAAGGGTTTGTGACAGCCAGTGCCATGTGGGGCTGGGCTGCCGTGCAGCAGCAGGCAATGCCACCCACTGCTGCTTAAAGCAGGGCTGGGACCCTTGTCCCTGACCTGATACACCAGGACTGAAGAGTCACTGCCCATCCCACCCAGGTCTGCTTTGGAGATGCTGGGGGTTTGGGCTGTAAGGACCAGCTCTGGGGTCTCCAGCACCCCCCAGGGGGCTATCTCCAGGCACAACAAGACTTCCTCACCCCAGTTTCTCCAGGGAAGGATGGAGTATCCCAGGGAGGGTGGGAGCAGCATGGCTCAGACCCCACTGCCTGTACTGCCTGGCAAAGGCTGTTGGCTCAGTCAATCCTGCAGCCCTTTAGCAGCCTCCTCAGACCCTCTCCAGATGAGAAAGGAAGGTGTCTGAAGACAGTCCTGGATAACTTATTGACTCATCTCTGATGCCACAGGTGTCAATAGGAGCCCAGACAGTGGTGGTAGGACCCAGCACTGCCAGGCTTGGGCAAACATCTGAGCTGTGATGTAAGATCAAAGCATCTGGGTTTGCCCTCCCATCTTTGGGGCATGGATGCAGACAGCTGGCCCCAAGAGTGAGGAATAAGATCTGACTTACTGGGGACCCTGTTAATGGCCCTGAGTGGCCGCAGGACTCGAACGGTGCGGACGGCTGAGAAGCTGACATTCTGCAGGTCCAGGGAATACTCCAGCATCCTGAGAAAGACACAACACCACGGAGAAGTGTCACGGACCCAGTGGAGAAATGTTAGATTATCAAACATTATAGAGCAAACATTAAATGCCAACCACTCACAGAGGGACTTGTTACCGCATCTCTCCCATCAGGAAAGTTTGCCCGAGGAATTAATTAAGGCTTGTTTGCGTGTCAGGATAAAGTCAATGAGGGAGAATGTGATACACCAGCTCAAACAGCCACAGATCTCACTCTCTCCCTCTCTCTCTTTCTGCTGCTTTGGTTACTGTTTTTGCACAGGGCCAGGCAGAAGCTTCTGAAAGGCCCTGCACACTCCTGAGAGGAAATTTCCAGGCATAGCCCTGCTTTTATCAATTTTATGGATACTGTAATGAATCTGAGTTTGTTATGCTGAGCACCATCACAGTCCTGAAAGGAAAAACATCTCCTGGTGCAGACCCTTCTGTGGGACACGGGAGATGATCAGCACAGGACACTGGGCTCTGCTGTCTCTGCTCAGCAGACACCCTTGGCAGGTGGGACCAAAACTGGTGACACTTGCAGATAAAAAATGGGGCCAACAGGGACCTAGGAACCTCCCAGTTCTCCCACTGTCTGACAGGGTTATTCCCCAGCTCAGGACATAAAGGAGCAACATTCACAAGACTTAGTCTCAGGATGCACCTGGATGGCTGCAAGTCCCTGGGTGCCCCAGCACCTCTCATTCTTCTCATGGCACCTTTGCTCAAGCACGACAGAGTCATCAGTCACAGTACCTCCAGGACTTTGCTCTCTGGCCATGGGAAGATCCAAGAGCTCTGGCCAGAATATTCTTGAAGAGGCAGAGCCAGGCAAAGGTAAGAAAGACAACCCTGAGGCTCCCTGGACAGTCAGGCTTCCACTACCACAGGCAACCACAGCATATTGATCTCTTCCAAAAATTTCATCTCCAAACAAGATGGGTGGTTCCCTCCCTCCAGCTCTAATGGCTAGAAGCCTAACTTCCAGCCTGAGTTTATTCAGGACAAGCTCATATCCATTTGTTCTTACAGGAGCACTGTCTTTAACGTAGCTTCTCTAGCTGTTATTTATCCCTGGTGTTAACTCACCCATGTATTTACAGAGGACAAAGCACATCTTCTCTCAGGCTTGATTTTGCAAATTAAACACATCAACTTCTTCCAGCTCCATCTCTGCTTCTCAGTCACAATCTTCCTCCACACTTAGGTTCAGATCTGAATTAATCTCACCTGATTAGGCATCACGTTTCTGGAGGAGGTTTTGGTCCTTGCACCAAGGCATCAGTGCTGTCCCTTTCTTCCCTGCTAGAAATCCCGCAGGATCCATCCATGCTGTGTTAGGTTTGCCATGGCTGAAGCACACTGGAGGCTTCTGTTCTTGCTGTGATCAGCCAAACCCACCCTCCTCCCTCCTAGCCCCCAGCAGGTGAGGGGTGTCCCAGGGTTGAGAAGGCTCCCCTCCCAGCCCCCATATAAACAACCCCATGTTCAATGCAGTGAGGCTTTACCTGGTAAAAGTAGAGCAGTGAGGCTCTAATAAGAATGATGATGATGATGATCAAACCATATCTAAGTTTAAAATAACCTCAAAATATTCCTCTCTGCTTAGCTGACCCCCCCAGCACTGGGACAGTCCCAGGAGATGGAGGTTGGACATGCACATATGGATACTAAGTATTTGTTCTCAGCCCCTGGCCAGAAAGGAATGCAGTGTATTCACAAAATCCCACCTGACCTGGGAGTAGAAAACCAGTTCCTTTCTCAGTGCACAGGACTCCCTGCATTGGGCAGGATTTGGCTAAGGTGAAGAGAGGGGCAGTGGTTTCCCTGGCTTTCATTGCTGTCAAGTTTCACTCGCTGTTCAAAAAGATTTCAGTGTGGTTGGCAATATTCAGGTAAAAAGCCCATATCAAACATACAGCTTTTCTTTCATCCATTATTAAAACAGAGGCTGCCAGCAAAATTCAGAGCAGCACGTGGTTAAATGCAACAAGACAAATCATTTTCTTTTTAATGACAGCTCCAGACACACTTCCAGAGATGTGAGTGCTTGTAAGCTGCAAAGGATGTGCTGTAAAATGCATTTTGATTTCATTTATTAAAGAACAATTATAATGCCAAACTTAAAGGAACATGCTGAACAACAGCCCAGAGGCTTAAGCAAACACTTGAACACCAAGACCAAGAGCAAGAAGGTGGTCTCCTGCCTATGCTGCTGGGCACTGCTGCCAGAACTGGTGTTACAGCACTGCCAAGCTCAGCCCCAGACACAGAATACAGGGTCCACACCTTGCTGGTAACCAACAGCTCAAGTGCCTTGAGAGATCTCAGTGTTAGAGAAAAGGATGTCAGTAAAGCTCAGTCACTAAAGAGCAAGTCCAGTGAGAACACCATCAGTCCCCAGCTCTAAGGTCACTTCCCAAGGCAAGAGGAAACATGGGAAGAATCAATCCACATCCCTGGCAAGGCAAGATGCTCAGGGAGAGCAAATGTCAGGATGTCACCAGCTGGTGAGGTGACAGCTACATTTACCAGCACATATAGCATTTATGCATTGGAAATCTGCAGTGTAAAAGGCTCCTGATGAAGCTTCAATTCAAATGTCATCTCTGCTCAGAGGGGAAGGCACGATGCCTGTCAGCACCACTGCCACCAACCTGGTGCCCAGCCAAGTTAAAGGCTCAGAGAGAAACTCAGCATTAAATAGGATGGATTCACAGCTCGTCAGGGTGATTAGCAACCCCCGATCACTGGAGTTATTCAGAAGGAAAGCAGAAATATTTAGGACTTTCTAAGAATAAAAGTAGAGCATCTGCAAAGCCAGACATACAACGGGCTGCTAGTGGGAGGCAGAGAGGGAGCTGATGCAAACCTTTGGCAAATGCTTCTCCAAGCAGGAAAACTCCCAGAGCTCAGCTGACAGGCAATAAGGATGGCTCAAGATGGACCAGGCAGGAGAAATTAATTCCTATTCCACCTGGAGACAGTGAGTCGGAGCATGCTGGAGTTTCTCTCGTGTGAAACCCAACACACTGGGAAGGATTGCCTGAATGCAATGCCAGGCAGCAACCCTGAGGCAAAGGGCTTTCAAAAGTGATGCTCAGGGCATCACAGAAAGGGTTCAGGGGGCTCTGCTTACCCAGAGAGCCCCTAACAGAGCACAGAAATTCCAGAGAAGTCCTTCCCACACCTAGCCAGCATTGCATCTCTGAAGCACCCTGCTCTCAGCTCTGACTCTGCTCCCATCTCCAGGACAAATCCTGCTCAGGAAGTAGAAGATGTTGTGAAAACCCAGCAGAGTCACACAGAGAGTTTCTGCCGAGGCCGTTTTCCAAGGAAAGCTTGAACTCTCCCCTTTCACAGCTGGGTGCTGGGGGTACTGCACAACCAGGGGATGTGACCAAGGTCGCACAAGAAATCGGTGGCAAAGCAGCAGTGGCTGCAGGCAGGGCCACCCCCGAGAGCTGCCCACCCCCTACACACTCAGAGCCCTGCACTGCTGGGGAGAGATAGGCTGAGATTTATCCAGCGTTAAAAAGCTTCCAAAACTGGGCATATAGACACCCTTTATCTACAAAGCACAGCCATCAGTGGTTGATATTAAGCCATCGGTGCTGGAAAAGACAAGGGGAAATTATTTAGGTGGTGTATCTTCAGCAAGCTGGAATGAAATTTCCCCCAGCTCTCGCCAGCTTGGCTGTGCTCTGCTTTCCCTCAGCGGCTGCGTTTGGAGCCTTGCGAGTCTCACCGCATTCGTGGGTGTTGCTTAATTTTAAAAATACTCATTTCAATCAAGCTGAACAGAAGAAAAAGAATAGCACACAGAGAGCATGAACCCTGCAGCCTGCTGGATCTGGCTGAACCATGTGTCCCAGCCAGGACACTTGACTAATGAGGCTTTTGAAGCAGCAGCAAGTTCAGCTGAAGAACTGAAAGAAACGAAAGAATTACCTTTTTAAAAGTCCTAAAACTTAAAAAAACTTCCAGGCTTTTCACAGGTGGATTTGAGTCAGCTCAGCTGTGAGGGAAACTGCTGAGGGCTTTCTTTTACCCAGCAGGTTTCTGTGAGTCAGGGATGCAGCTTGTTCAGGATGCTTTGCTCCAAAGGTTGTGGGAAGGCAGCACGGAGCATCCACAGCCAATGGACTTCATCTGTGCTCAGGTCTTGGCTACCCTTTATCCACCCAAAAGTAACTTAAAACATTAAATTGCACAGCTCAGCCCCAGATATCAAAGTCCTGGGTTTTGAGGTTCATGATGACGACTACTGGCTTGATGTGCTGGCACTTCTTCTCAGAGCACAGAGCACCTAATTTGGGATTAATCAGGACACAGCAAGGCCACGGAGGAGGCTCCCAGTTTCCAGGACACTCATATACATCCTGGAAAGCCTAGGAGAGGGCCAGGCTCCTGGGAGAAGGCTTGGTGCAGCGTTCCCTGTGGCCCAGAGGGGCTGTGACAGCGGCTGCACATTGGGTAATTGTGTGTGCAAATCAGCCTCTTGCATGGGCAATTACCCCCCAGTGCTCGCCCGGGGTGCCCAGGCAGCACACAGGGCACTGCTGCCACGTCCTCGTGTGCTGCTCCTCAGGTCAGACTGCTCAACAGAGGCAGAGGGAATGAAAAAGCAACATTCACCCTGCTTCCCTGTTAGTTTTGTTTTTAAGGGATGAAGAGACTAATATATGGGGAAAATCAGCCTTTGCAGTGGGAGGCTGCAGCAGGGGCTCCTGTAGGCAGTCCCACACCAGCGCTTTCTTCCCTGTGTCTGACCCAGGGAGCTGACACAGCCCCTTGATCAGCCTTGTACAACTAAAACGCCCTTCAGAGGAGCCCTGCCTGCCTGTGGAGCAATCTGGGGCTGTGGGATGAAGGCAACACGCTGGAAGCTTCACCAAGAGCACCCAGCAGGAATCTTGCTCTGGCTGCTTCAGCCATGGGATCACAACTCCCTGCAGAGACCCAACCAGCACCATAGCTCTCCTTCCAGTTTCTGAGCTAAAGAGCTTTTCAGACCCCATCCAGATTTAGATGGAGCAGGGATGGAGTGGGGGCTATGTCATCCCTTTCTCTCCTGTCACCCATGAACACAAGGCGGCTTCCTGCAGCCTATTTCATCCCTGAAATTCAGTGCTCAAAACCAGGAGGGAGAAAGACATCCTTAAGGTTGTTTATGAAGGCTTCAGTGGAGCTGACTGTTTAATACAGCCTTCCACAGAGAGAGAAAAAATATCATAACAAACATTAGAAATGTTCAGGAAGCAAAGAGAGAAAAAAGTGGTGTCTGTTCCTGAATTAAGCAGCCTGCCAACCACCTCCAGCCCCAACTCCTCTTCAATCGTAAGCAAAATATTCCAGAAGTGTTTAACTTTCCTACAAAGTCTTTGAAGAGGCTTGTTACCATTACAATGAGCAAAGCACAAACAGGGCTCCTCAGTCTTGGCCAAACAACTGACTGAGCCTGGAGTAACCACAGACCCACACAGCTCAAAGAGGGGATGATGCACAGCCCTGCTCGGTGGGGAGCAGAATGTGGGCACAGGAAGGCAGAGAGGAATCCCATGAGCTCTGACAGCTCCAAATTATCCCCTGGTGTAAAGCTCTCTCACAGGAAAACAGTAAACCATTAGGGATTTTTGTTGTTTTGGGGTTAGAATCATAGAATAGAATAATAACATCTCCTGAGCTGGAAGGGAACCACAAAGATCAAAGTCTAGCTCCTGGCCCTGCACAGGATAACTCCAAAATCTCACCATGGGATTTTTTGATGAGGATAGCTTAAAGCCCATTTCGATCTACGTGGATGCAGAGGTCATGGAAGTCCTTATCTGAACGAAGCCAGAACAAGCTGTGTTCCTGCAAGCTGCTGGGACTGCAGCAAGTGTGGGGCTAGGGCTCCAGCTGAGCAGAAGGGAGACCTCAGTCTGTGGCTACCCTCTTCCCACAGACTGAGCAGAGAAGGTGCTCCTGTGCCCTGCCAGGAAGACAGATGCTGGGTTCTACAGCAACCAGGGAGACACCAAGTCAGGGCACATCTCCATCCCACAGCTCTGGCCTGCCAGCCCAAGCCCCAGTCAGCATTAAACCAAAACCACTTCTGCATATTTTGGGATGCAAACAAGCATCCATCTTCAGTACATCTGTGTCTTATGCTGGGAGAGATCAGAATGACACCGAATCATCTTTAGAGGGCAAGAGCTGCTTGCAATGCCTGTTAACTTTCAAAGAGTTCTCTCGCAAGCAAACTCCCCAAATGCCCTCCTCTAAAAATAATGCAACATAATTATGCCATTCATCACTTTTTTCCCCTCCCCTTTCCCCCCACACAGCTCTGTAACCTCCAGCCAAAGCCGTGTTTCCCTAAGCAGAGTTTTGATAATACAGCACTATTCTCATCTCCGGCAAGTTTTACTGTAATTACAGAGATGTGTTGCAGACATTACACACTCTATAATTAGCACTAATTGCATTACATTGTCACAAAGAAGTCATTTACACTCCATGAGTTCATGAGATTGGTCTGGACAGTTTAACAGAGATGAGAAGCACTTAATGGCATCCCACAGAAGTGGCCAGCAGGAGCAAGGACAGCATCCAAGAGGCTCTCCCAGAACTCCAAAAGGGAGGGAGATTTGGAGCAAAAATGCACAAAAAGGCTTCTCTACAATGATAACCTCTGTCAGATCTAGGAAGTTCTCAGAGAATGGGGAAGATGAAATGCTATAAATTGGGACTTTTTTTTTTTTTGGGGGGGGGGGGGGGGGGCAGTGTGGGGTGAAGCCTGTTCTAAACTGGTGGTGGCTGGGAAGGATTTCTATGGATGCTGTGCCCGTGGGAGTGTACAGCCCCAGTATTACATGCTTTCCCCACCTGATGCCCCACAGATATAGTTTGCTGCTTCTCTTCTCCCCTGACATCACTTTCTGCAGCCCATGAGAAAGGAAGTGGCAAGGCAAGCAGGAGAGCCGGAGCTCAGGGTCCTGCTGGGTGCTGGGGAGCTCACACTGTGCTGCTGCTTCCCTCCTCCCTTGTCTTGCACATAAAGGGCAGAGAAAAAATGTGAAGATAGAAAGAGAATTGCTTCACTGTGGTCACCAGGACCACAGGAAAACCTCAGTCTCCTCCCTGGCATTTCACTGGGGAACCTGGTTGAGGCCCTTGTGTGAGACTTCCATCAAAACATGACTCACTTTATCTGGTGTCTAAGCAAACCCAGCTGGGTTTTGAAGATTGCCCTGGCACACGCTCTCCAGGGCTCCAGTTTGGCTCTGGCCTCTTTCCTGACACCTGCTCAGATGCAGGATTGCTCCAAGCAGAGCTCGGCTCATCCTTGCTCCTGTGCTCTGCTGTGAGCACCACGGGCTGGGTGCTCATTGGGGTGGTTTGCCCCATCTGGGAACCAAAGAGCTGCACTAAGGGTACCTGAGGAATTTCCCTCTGTCTGGCTGGGATTTGACCCAGCAGCACTTACTTGTTTTTTACCTATATCTTAGGTCCACTAAGGGCTTGAGTCCTTTATTTTTTTCTCTGCTTCAGCAGTGTACCATTCCTGCAGCCCCTTTGGCTTTCCCTGGCCCTCAGCAGGCTCTCCAGGATTGCAGCAATGCTCTGAGTAGGATGCAGCACTCCAGGATAGATGGGCTGGGATTGGAGGAGAGCAAAAGGGCACAAAAGGGAGCAGAGAAAGCCAGTGCTGGAGGAGGAGAAGCTCTGCTTTGTATTTAAATCCAGTTAGATCCTTTGCCAGCTGAATTGGTTTTGACGGGGCCCAGATGGGAACAGTTCATGCACATGGAGGAAAGAGCCATCACTTAGTGAGAGGCAAAGCCAACCTGGCAGAAGGCACGAGAGGGTCAGGCTACCACGCTGGAAAAAATCTCTGCAGCAGAAAAATGTCTCTGCATGATGGGGATGGGGGAGCAGCTGCTGCAGGGGGCGGGATCTGTGCCATGATGCAGCTCTGCCCAGGAAGGAGATAACTCTCACATACCCAAACACCTGGCCAGATGCAGCAGCTATGCAGAGATTTCTTTGCTTAAGCAAAGAGAAGTGTGATTATTTTGGCATAGGAATAAGGATGGTCTCAGCTGGTGTCCCTCTGGAGTGAGGTCCCATCATGGTGGGTCCCCACAGAATGATATCAGGGAAAAGTCTGGCTCCAAAGGCTTTGCAAGATCAACAGGCAAAGGCAGGACCAGGCTGGGAGGGCAAGGTGGCAGTGCCCTGGCAGAGAGGAGTTGGGAACAGCCCAGCATCTGTGACCATGCTTCCCCAGAGAGGATGTCAGGCCTTGCTTGGGTTGGGCTCTTCATCATAATTAATTCCACTATAAGACATAATTAAAGAGAAGAAATAAAGGTGGCTTAGCAAGCTCCAGCCCTTGGATGTGCTGCTGGTATCTACAACCCTACCAGACCTGACTGGACCTGTGGTTCCCTCTTGTCCAGCATCCCATCACTAACATTGCTCAGACATTTCAGAAGGAAACCCTGAGCCTTCTCCTAAATGGAGGAGCCAGAGGCTGGTAGGGCTGGAAAGGAGGAGGTTGTGGCTTCCTGCAGAAGACAGGTTATGGGGACAAATACAGCTCTTGGGTCTGAAGCTCACTGAACCTTTTCACCTCTGCAACAATGAATTTTTCAAGCCAAGGATGCACTGAGAGACCTGGCATGTTTTACTTCTCCCAGCTGACTAGCAGAGGCATGGGCCATGTCCCTGTGACGCCAGCAATGGACCATAAGCAAAACTCATTAAGATGTTGTCCCTTCTTGGACCAAACAAGAAGGGGCCGTTGCCCCTTCTTTGGACACCAAACCCATGCCAGGCAAACAAGCTGGGAGGAGCCTCTGCTTTTTTCCAAGAAAATCTAGTAAATTTGATCCCTAGCTCCATCAAGAGGCAAAACCCAACTGTTTTCACAAAAGTCTTGGGGTCTTGGGGCAGGGAGGGGAGGCAAGGGCCAGCAAGAAATTTATGTATCAAAGAAACTCAGCTCAGGGGCCAGTGGCCAAGGGCTTTTCATGTGTATTTCCAGCCTCTGCCAGGAGACTCTCAGATGCTGGAGAAGCCTTTAATTCAAACCAGGTGCCTCTGAAAGGAAAGCACTCAGAAAGGCGAACTTGATCACTTTCCCTCAAGAAAAAAAAAGGTAAAATAATGAGGGCAATCGTGCACGTTTCGGTGAACAATCCTTCCTGGCACAGCCCTCCATGCTCCCAACTGCCTACTCCAGCCACAGAAACTGAAACCTTTGATGGGCTGGTGGGAGGAGAGCCAAGCACAGTACCCAGCAAAGGAGCCCCAGGCTGGTCAAAATCCACCACAAACAACTTTTGTCACCCTGCCCTGCTCGTCCTGTGAGCTGAGCATCAGCTCTCCCTCAAGCCACTGAGAGGACCAGAGGGGCAGCTGCAGCTCAGGAGTGATCCCTGCTGGGAACCTGGGATGGACAACACCAACAACCAAGACCAGCCAGCCCCCAGCCCTCACTGCTGCAAACCAGCTGCTTCACTGAATCCAAGCAGAGCCATGAGTAACAGCAGAGAGACTCAGGAAGAAGGGGACCTGCCTCCCCAGACCTACCCTGCAATGACGATGAAGAAGTCCAAGCGGTTCCATGTGTCTCCCAGGTAGCACTTCTTCCCAAAAATCCCCAGCGCGATCATTTTGACGATCATTTCCACAGCAAAGAAGGCAAAGATGAAGTCATCAAAGCTCTGCAAAAGAAAGGAAGGGAGGAGGGATGCTCCTGCACACTTGCACCAAGGGAGGGAATTAGAAACCTGAGTCCTGCAAGGTCTCCTCTTGCATCTCTAAAAGCTAAATCCCCGGGAAGAAGCTGTGCTGAGAGCAGCCCTGTGGTCCAGGGCCCAGCCCAGATGGTTCAACAGCACCTATAGTGCCAGGATAATGGGACAAATATATTTTGGGCTCTGCTTTCACTGACCACTAGATGGTTGGCCTTTCCCAAGCACTACTAGAAAGGCTTAGCTAGGCTGGGACTGGCACAGCCTGGCAGGGGCTGACAGGACTGCATGTTCTCATCCGAGCACCAAAACCAGCATTTTCCAAGTGCTTACAGGTCAGACAGTGCAGGCAGGACCTGACATCCTGGGACATCACTCCACTGTGGCTAGAGCCAGCTCAGTCCTTCCCTCTGCACATCAACCTGAGGCTGCTGTTGAGCTTGCAGCAGCGCTGGGGCTGTACCTGGAGGATCCTGCAGCGCGGCGAGTCGCAGGCGATATCCTCGCAGGGGTGGAACATGCCCAGGGTCACGCAGTTGAGCAGAATCACCAGCATGCTGACCCTCTCAAACCATCTGCACACGCCCATCAAGGAGGCAACAGACCCAGAGGTGCATCCATGAGAAGCAACAACTGAATTGGAAAGCTTTTCCTGGTCTTTAAGGCCAGGAGCAGACCAGCTTCCCTGCCTTAGGGAGTCTCTATGTTGAGATAACTGCATGTGCTCTCCCCACGCTGCCATCAGTGGCTACAGCTGATGTGAAAACCACTCTAAAATGGAAGTTGCATGGCAAGAGTGCTGAGCGCTGATGTGATGGATTAAAACATTTAATTAAATGAGTGATATCAACTTTTAGAAAAAAACTAAAAACCTCACCATTAATTTCCTCTCCTAGCGTTTTACAGAAAAGCACTTTAACATTACAATTTCTATTAACCATGTCTCAGCTTATCCCAGGGGTGTTTCCCTGAAGCCACTGCTTAAACTTTCATTCCCAATCCAAATCAAGACTGCCAAAATCATTAATGAACCACCTGAAAGTCTTTAAGTGAGGGCCAGCAGAGCCCCTTCCCTACCCTGCCTCCTGCTTCTCAGAGCAATTTTTAAAGAGCTGAGCTGCTGGGACAGATGTTGGATGCACTTTTGGGGCAGAATAGAGTGTGCTGCTGCAGCACAACCCCATAGGGATGGTTCAAACCTGGTACCCAATTCCTGCATCCTTCTGGGGGCATTTCCAGGAGCACAGAGATGGGAAATCCAGGCACTGGTTCAGTGTGGTGCTGTGGTTATCTTCCAGCCTAGCATGAAAAACACCTTCTCGACTGCCAGAACCCACAGACAGCAGGGCCATGCTCCTGCCTGAGTGCCAGCAGCAGCTTCTATGCTCCAGGAAAATAAGCATGGCCCTTGTCAGACAAGAGCTTTCACTGCAACACAGCAGCGGGTGGTGTTGAGGAGCCCGTGCTGTAGCGTTATCTCCTGGGGAAGCAGAAGGTGAGGATGAATCAGCAGGTGCCTCTCCACAGGGCACACAGGCCTGGGGCTGGCAGCTCCTGCCACCCATCCTGGGCCAGTTCCTGGGAAAGCACACGGGGCTGAGTCACAGTTTGACTGTCGACAACCTGCGTCTTTTAATCGGGAGAAATGTTTACAGGATATTGGGATAGACATTCCAACTGTCAGGGTGGGGCTATGGGCGGGGATGTTTAGCCTAAATATAGTCCTGTGGGGGCATGGAGGGCAGCCAGAAGAAGGGGCAGCTACTGAAAGGAATCCCCAGCTTGGGGGGCTGGGAAGACCACCCAGCAGAACCAGCCGAGTCCAGGGCTTTGCCAGCAAGGAGCTGCAAAGCCCTTGGGAACATCAAGAATTAAAAAACACCCTGTACAATCCCAAAGGGGTGACAGAAGGAATGTCACCTTCATAGGCTGTGCAAGATATGCAGCAGGGAAGTGAGGATGTCCCAGGACAGCTGGGTTGGTTGGGTCAGAACCTGCAGAGACAGATGGACAAGCCCCCAGACAGTCAAAAATCCATTCAAATTCTTCCGTGACAGTGGACAAGAGCCTTCAATGGATGTGGATCTCCTCCACACACTCCATCCCAGCTGGGGGTGCTTTTGCCCCAGTAGGCAGCTGCTGATGCTGGCTGGGCACTGCAGACTCCTGGGCAAGCAGAGACGGGCACACAACCATGGTGGGTACCAGCTTGGAGCCACTCTGATCTCACCTCTTCCCTGTCCAAGACCCAGCACAGCCCTAATGCTCCCCCAGGGAAGCTGAGCAGAGCCAAGCCCACCACAGCCCCATGTCTGGCACAGAGGGATAAGCAAAGGCTGAAATGGAAGAGCACAGGATAGCACCAAAGACACCCTCCCTGTCCTTCCCTGGCATGCCACAGTCTGCATCACGCCTCAGATGCCCCTCAATACTCATTAGAGCGCTGGCACTGGTACCAGTGACTGATTGCAGGTGGAGGGAAGCCAGGTGAGTGCAGCCCCCAAATTGCCACAACCTGCCCCACACAGGGCACCAGCTGTGGCCAGCAGGGAGATTTGGGGACCAGCACCACATCTGTACCTCCAAGAGGGTCCCCATGGCACAGCCAGCAGCTCCTACCTGCCCAAAGAAATGCTGCCCCAGGCCAGAACCTCCCATCTTGGCACAGCCATGGCCCCCCCCCCTGCTGCCCACCGTGGCTACAGTAAAGGTCCCCCCATCCTGCCCTGTCCTCCCCTCTCAGGGTTACCCTCCCCACATCCCAACTTGTCCTGCAGGAACAAACATCTGCAGGCAGAAAAACAGCCTGGAGAGGGAGGGGGACCCAGGGAGCAGGAGGGGGTGTTTATTTGCTGAAGGCAGAGGTTTGTTACCCCAAATTTAACTGCAGACCACTTATCAGCACATTTCTCCCTGGAGCACACATATTTCAGTCCAATACAGCACTTCACCCTGATTAAATATTCCTGGGACAGGCACCCCAGCAGCGCCGAGGGCAGTATGTTAATGTGCAGCTGATAGATCAGAAGGTTGGGGGGGGTGTGTTATTTTTCCCCCCCTCTTTTTTTTCCAGCTGAATGAAAATTCAAGCTCTTTCTTCTGCTAATGGGATTTTCAGAGGCACACAAAGTGCTGCTGGCTATGGCTTTGTACCGACCCTCCTTTGAGCAGAGAGGCTGACAAAGGGAAATGCTTCAATTAGCAAAAGCAGAAGGTGCTTTTTTGAATGCCTCTCACTGCTGCAGGGCAGGCAGGGAAGGGGCAAAGCAGCTTTGGGGAAGCATCAGAGACATCTTGGTCCCTGGCCAGCAGTTCAGGTGAGGAGGAGAATACTTGAAAGCAGGGGCAGAGGTGGCATTGCCACCACCCAGTGTCGCGCTGAGCCCACAGCCCTCGCTGCATGAGGTAAATATTTACTGGGAACAGAGCTGGCCTTCAGGGTCCTGCCCCCTCCTCACACCAAGCAAGGCTGATATTTAAAAGAAAAAGGACTAATAATGGGGTTCATGACCACACAGCAGGCGATTGCCCCATCCACCCCACCCAATGGGTGTCAGAAAGTCACCACTTTTAAGGGTCACTTGCTCATCCCAGCGTATTCTTAAAAATCCACATCTTTACCATCAGCGTGCTCAAGGCAGGCAGCCAAAATCCTCACAGATTCTTTTCAACTAAAAAAAAAAACCTGTTTCTGCCACACAGAAATTTGCAGTAACACTTCTGTTGTAACCTGACTCTTAGAATTCATAAGATAGAGAGAACAAAAGGAAAAAAAAGGAAGGAAAATGTCCAGAAGTCACCCACTTGTTACCAAAGGAGCTCTTTCACAGAGCAAGAGCCCTCAGCCCCTTCTCACCATCAGTGCTCCCAGAGCCACCTGCCCACGATTCCCAGCACCTGACCTTTCGTAATTAAGAGGCAAGAGTCCCAGATTCAATTAGCCAACACTACCCAGCCTAATATAATTAAAAGAGAAAGATATTGCATTATGCTTGCTATGATTTGGTTGCAGAAGTTTGGATCAAATTCACCAGTGAGTGAATTAAATCGGCATCTGTTGCCCAAGGGCAGCAGTAAGCAGGTGAGATGCTCTGTCCAGCTGCATTCTGGACTCTCTGCAAGGAGCTGGAGCACTTGCACTGGTCCCCTCTTTGGCTTGGGGCTGAGAAGAGCAGGCACCTCTGTGCCCCAGAGATGGGGGTCCCTTTCTCTGGGGAAGTGCCACTGACAGAGGGGAGTGTTTGGTGATGCTCTGCAGGAAGACACACTCTTCTGTGGGATTAATGTTTATTTCTTCCCTTGGTGCTTTGCTGTTCCCAGGTAGCTCCCACCATTCCCCCCCTCCTCCTTCCCTGAGCCCCTCTCTCTCCCTTCCTGACCCCTCCTCCCACTCTCCAGAGAAGCAGCAGCTCCAAGGACATTGGAGAGGGTGCTATTGCTGGGAAGTGGGGTGGGGCATCCCTCTGCCCCCAGCCCAAGCACAAGCAGTGTGAGGGGAGCAGGGGAGGCAGCTCTGCAGCACCAGGGGCTGCAGGTTTGTACCACGCCATGAAACTCAATTTTATGCACAGCAGTGCATAAAACCCCCTGGATCCAGACAGGTGACACTGGGCTCTCTTTGCTGCCTGTTTTTTAGGGCAAGGAGTTGTCATTTCAACACAGAGATCACATCCAGGACCAAATCCTCCATCAGCACCCACAGCCATCGCTTCTGTGCCAGGAGAAGCCCTCACTCACTGGGACAGCCGCTGGGATTTGACAAATGTGTGGAAAGCGCTGGCAAGGCCTGGAAATTTTTGTGCAAATGTGATATGAAAATTGGGTTGAAATGACAGCCTTCCCCTGCAGTGTCACCAAGTCCCACCAGCTTAGGAGTGACACCAGGATAAGCTGCAGACGTTAATGAGAGTGGAGTTTTAGGCTTCATTCATATCATCAATTCCAGAAATAGCCCCTTTGACAGAAGCATAATGGGACTTCCAGGGCCTGGCCTTTGGGGGGGTGGAGAAGGCAGGGACTAAAATCCTAAAACATTAATTTAGGCCGTTTGCAAGGGAAGTTAAAAGTTCTCAAAATTAATCTGCCTCACAGATGGAAATAATAACCCCTTCCTAGCCTTGCCTCTCACTGCACCAAGCCAACAGGAAAAGGCTCTTCATGTCATGCCCAGTTGAAGGTTATAGGATTCCCATCACAGTCCTGGACATTTAATTAGATTTTTTTTTCCTACCGCATTCCCTCCAAAGCAAGACTGGCCTCTGTATTTTGCTTTTAGCGTTTGCAGGAAGCATTTCCACCTCTGTGGATGCAGCAGTGCTAGAGGTGGTCTCAAAGCATCTCTGCCCAGTAAATCCACTTCCCTGACCTGCAGCCAAGCACCGGCAGGGATCTGCCCCCCGTGTCATTGCAGCGTGGTCTCTACCCTACAGCTTTGCCCTCCCAGATGCTTTTCCAGGCCTGCTCCAACCTTTCCCTCTGAGGGACACAAGCTTAGGCTGAAGCAGGGAAGATGCTGCAGGGTTTCCTGCAGCATCACTAGGCCTGCTTTTCCCTGGCAGGATGGAAAAGCCCCTGC